GAGAGAGAGAGAGAGAAATTACATATTTCAATGTTGACACTTAAAATGTTAATAAAGTAATACTTATGTAAATAGAAAGTTATGTCTTCAGAAAGTAGATTTTATTCCGATTCTTAACGTCTTAACGTAACGTATTAACATATTAGTCATTAGCATACAAGATATGCTCTTAAAAATTCAGATTCTACTTTTGGTAGGTACAATTATCGATATCAGAGTAAGCATTTCATTCCGCTGATCTCTATACTGGCTGTAATTTAATGATAAACGACGGATTCATTCGGAACGGTTTCTCGGTCTCTCGGCAAGATCGTTTCTATCGCGATATGTAGCTATCATCAGACCGAAGGCGTGACCGGACGAAGCGTAGATTAATCGGAGAGGTACTAAGGAAGAACGAGAAAATAGAAAACAGACGGAAGAAAATAGCACTTGCAATTTTTCAGGCGCACGCGACGACTCATGGCTAACGACCAACAGGCTCCCCCATATGGTACGTGCAACCTACTTAATTGCATCGGCGAGTAACGAGGAAAAGTGGAGCAGCGTTACGAATGGCCGAACTCTTATCCTCATTGTCTCTCACAAGATTTATTTATCGGACATGCGTGCGTGTCTTATTTTCGAAACTCTCGTGCCACCAGGGAGGATATAAATGCAATGCGTACGATTTGCGATTCAAAGCGCGTCCGCGCGCGATTTAAATGTATGCGGCAACGCGGCGGCCTGGTAAAGAGAGGAATCTCCTGGTGGTTATTTGCAACATACGCGTGTCGCAAAAACGTAATTTCTCACGTACAAATTACGGGACTAATCGCACAAAACTTGTCGCCTGCACTGTCCGTCAATAAAAAGATCGAAACTTGCGAGTGAGAAACGCCGAGTCAGTTCAAACAAATAATCCCCCCTTTTTATGATCGAATTATCACCTAATAGAATCATGTCTTGCTGCCGTGAGATTTCTTCCGAGTTATCGAAGTGTGATTTATCTTTCCTCCGCAGTTATCCAAGCAGCGAATGGCGCGATATTAGCCGTAATAACATTTACAGTTTCTCAATAATCTCGAAAACCGTTTTGTGCCGATTTTACTGCCAAGTTGTTTTCTCGTAATCTGCGAGACGAGAAATACTCAGAACTCGAATATTCAGCGAAGGCCGATCGCGAAAGTAAGAGTCGCCTAATATCCGTGCTGAAGATGACGATTTCTACGATGTCACCGGATTAACCCGAGAAGATTGCGTCAAAAAAATAATTACAGAGCAACTTTCACATTATCTAGTATCGCATTACTGTTATCTAGTGTAGTGTAGAGTATTTGCAGTATAGTATTTGCAGGATTTTAATCATATATCTCTGAAATATATATATATATATATATATAAGCGACTTAATTTTTTTATAAGAAAAGTGCAAAAATTTATTATATTTGTATAAAAAATATGTAAACGCTTGAACAAATAATTATTGAAAATTTAAATAGATATATATATATATATATTTATTTATTTATTTGTGTAATTTTTACGCAATATAAAATATAATATAATTTTGTGCGCCTTTTTATAAAATATTAAGACATTTTAAGATTTAGTTTCGAATTCCTTTGAACAGGTACGCATATAAACAACGGATACGACCTTTTGAAGGTAAGGGAGAGTTCATTTTAAGTGTTGCTTGCTCACGCGCTACCAATACAAGCGAGAGTTCTTACTCACCGTTTGGACAGGTGAAGACATTTGTGGTAGGAACCTGCAACAGAAAGGAAGTGCGTTAAGTTAACACTTGATCATAAATTAGATGGCAATTGATAGTTGAGCAATAACATCCAAAGTATATTGAATTCTGAAAATATATGTAGACTAAAAAAAGAAATTTTCTTTAATAAATAAATATCAAACGATACATGTTTAACATAAAATAGCTAAATGATAAACTGTTGAAGTAATAATAAGTAGTAATAAGTAATAAGTAATAAATAATAATGCATGATAAGGAATAAAATAAATATAAATTTACGGAAAATGTAATTAAGAGTGAAATTCCAAAAAAAAAAAATAAATGAAAAAATCAATCTATTATTTATTTAAAAAACTTTTTAATTATTGATTAGTGAAAGAAGAATATACGAAACGAATATAATTCACATATTTAATAAGTAACATAAATATTATGTCATTTCACATGAATATATAAGGATTATTCATTCTTTGATAATTTGTTACGATGCTAAAAACAAATTCGAATTAGAATAATTGGATAAAAAAAGCTTCTCCAAATTGTCAGTTGTAATGAGGCAAATTATTATAGCACCAATATTTAAACGATCAAAAAAATATCAAAATGATATATACTTTTATAATATTTCTACAGAAACGTTTTCCTGTTTCTTATAGATGATAGATCGATGAGACTTAGCCAAAAAAGGACGTCGTACGTATTTCAAACTTTTTGCGATTACTTCACACCTGGAAGTCGCTGTTTTCGCTTGTCGGATTTAACTGTGGAAAGGCTTCGGTTAGGCCTAGACGTGCTAGACGCATTGTTATCCGGCCGGAGAAAGTGAAGATGCAATCTGTCCAACGATCTTCTCGTTTCTCGCGTCCGTCTCTCAAGAGCACGGAAAGTGTCCGCTACTTCGCGAGACCGACTCGGACGCGTTCTTGTCTGTATTTCGATGCTGCTATGCGTGCGTATATCAGTAATATAACGGTGACTACATTCCTGCGAGAGGTGCGAGTTGCACCAGCTGTAGAAAGGCTGCACCCTTGTGCGCATTCCCGCGCGAAAGTATGCTCGAAAAAACGAATTCTTATGCCGCACGTAACTCATTTACTCGTAATATGCTGCGCATAAAGTCTCTCGATATCATGAAGGATTACGTGATAATTATGTAACCAAAACGCAATTTGCGTAAGGAAAGTGACTCATTTAATTTTAATGCTCTAAAAAGTATCCAAAGTGTATTACGCAACAGAGGGTATATGGGTATAAAGAACAGAAATGGAATCCATCCATCTCGCGAAAGAAATCTCTGAATTTTGCTCACATTCCGCTTCCGTATCTCTGCGAGAGATTTCAATTTTTCGCAGTCGTAATTGCCGGACAGATTGCTAGCGGAGAGCGGAGAGCGTTTCTCTCTCGAGGAGACGTTCGTCAAGGCAGAAAACGCTCGCCTCGGACTTGCATTCTCGCTTGCGTTCTCTCCTCTCCCGCGTATCGAGCTACCAGTTCTGTAGTTAAAATGTTGCATCTGTGTTGCGATCGTGTGGCACCTTGGCGCACGCGCGCGCGCGCGCGCGCGTAGCCATGGCGTGTACGTGCGTGCGGGCGCGCTTGTGTGTACTGAAATTCACTTTCACCTCACATATGCCACATCTCGTGGAAACGAGCTCCGACACCGCTAACTCCTACGGAGTCGACTCGACTGCCGACATACCAATTACTTCATAACCCGCGGTTGAAACTCCCAAGAATCTCCCGACGTAGGGGCTTGTACCACCCTCGCGTGTTTTCTGCTCGGCCGCCTCGCCTCTGCCTCGTGGCAGAGCCGCGCAACTTTATCTTCATCACAGACAAAATAACCCTTGTCAAGTACTTAAGCTTTTTTTCGACTCACCGACATGACTTAAAAACCAACTTAAAAACTGGTCAAAGTATTTTTATCAGATTCTTAAT